TTGCGTTCCCAACAAGGTCCGCGTCCAATTTCCTTCTTGAACGCCATGTGTTCTTATTGGGTACGCAATGCGTACCCGTTTTGGCCCAAAACCCCTTAAACTTCAAATGGTCATAAGTTTTGCATCCCTGATCCGTTTTCGACATTCTTTATATCCACGAAAAGGTAACGAGAAGCCCTACACTTCTATCAACTTTATTTAGCCGGAAAACCAACCGAAATAAAATCTAAAATTCATAAAGGCCCGAACCAACGCCTTTGCCAATACCCTTGGGCTCCGAAACACAAACCGAAAACTCGGATCATCCAAACTACATCATCCACATACAATGAGCCCAAACTCAGTTCCTCAAGGGTTCTAAGTCTGCTAATACCCACTCCTTGATCCTCATTCTGCAATGGTGAACGATTCGAAACAGGGCGTTACAGATGTAGGGCTAAGTAACAATATGGTCGGCGTTATCGATGATATTATGGAGGAGCTGATCGAAAGCGATACCAAACTCGACGAAGGGACTTGGATATTGCAGGTAGAAGTTTCGATGATGATTTTCTAAATCTTTTAGAGGAATTGTAAAAAGAATTATATATTGGTTGTACCTATTTTTCATCGCTCAACGTTTCTATCAAAGCTTAATGCATATCAAGGTGACAAAAAAAATGGACTAATAGTTCATTTGACCAACTGTTGCAATTGTTTCAATAAACCATTGAAAGGAAACAAAGTCCCCCTTCATACTATGTAGCCAAAAAGAATATATGAAATACTAGTTTGGGCTATGAATTGATACATGTGTGCAAAAACAATTGTTCTCTATTTGGAAAGAACATAAGTTTTGCAAAGTTGTCATGTCTGTCATGAAAGTTGGTTGGTCAATAAAAACACAAAGACCAAGATAATTTGTGTATGGTATGTTGTTAATTTTGGTAATTAATAGGAAGTTTGGTATCTAATTTGGTTTATGTTTATTAGTATTTTGGTATGTTGAAATTGGATGTTATTATGTTGAAATTAAGCATACGATCACGTGAATGCTATTATAAAAAAACAAACAGAGATATAACAAGAAACTTGCAAATTGGTTTCGATCGTTTTCACAACATGGTGGGGATGACGAGGATATCGGGACTGATTATGAGGAGAACAATTGGCCCGAAGACGGCGGAGACGACGAGGATGACTAGGTAGCTTATGTTTAGTATTATATTTTGTTAATGGTGTACGTTTGTTAACGACTTTAATATCTTATGGATTTTATATTAAGTATTTTATAAGAAAATGTGGATTTTGCATTTGTATAATTTGTATCTGGTTTTTATAAATTTTAATAATAATTTAAATATTGTTTATATAGATTAGCTGCAATATTTAAAAAAAACTAGTTTTAGCGGCGACAGGTGGTATCGGTGACATCAATACCAGCGATACGAAGCATTGCTAATGACATAGAGGATTGTTGAAGAAAGGTAGTCCTGATGATATCAATACCGACGATAAAAGGGTTTTAATGAAGTATTATTAGCGGCGACATGTCGTCGGTAATACAATTAGCAACGACATTGGGGGCCTTTAGCGGCAACAATTAGTAACTCTTTTATTTTTTGTAGTTGTAATTACACATGTCCATCCCCTTTTTCTAACATAGAATATGTCATAAACATAAGCTGAAACATATATCAATTTTTTAATTTTCAGGTCAAGCTATTTATGATTAAGCCCAGAAAAAGTAAACATTTTAATTTTTAACACAAAACAACAACATATTTTTCTTTTTAACACAAAACAAAAAGATATCTTTTTTTATTTTAAAACAGCCACATGTTTTTATTTCTAACAAGACACGTGTAACATCCCAAAAATATGAGGTAAAAATTTCATTTTTAATTCAACCAATGCATTAACTATCTTTGAGTCAACATTTAATATTTTTTTTTCTAATATTCAAAAGTACTTTATAAGAAAACAGTTATCAGAGTATAATCCCAAAATCATCATAATGAGGAAACATAGGTGGATGCGTCGCGATCAAGTCGGACTCTTCCCTTCGAAGCAGAAGTACGTGAAACATAAATTGAAAACCATAAACAGAAAAATTAGTGAGTTCCCCAAAATACCACATACCATACATGAAAAACACATACTGGGCCTGCCCTACATCGGGCCCCACCCGACAACGAGTCTCACTTGGCCGCGGGCCTGCCCGACATCGAGCCCCGCTCGGTTTACAGATCTGTCAATCACCAGGCCCCTCCTGACACCGGACCCCGTCTGATACACATATAAACATATAAACATATAATCATACTAACACATGCGATAATCACAAAGATAAGAGCATACCATACAATCATCGGGCCTCGCCCGACATCAAGCGGGTATACATACCACTACATATACATGCAAGAGTCAACAAACATCTAACATCCTACATAATAAACCATGGGCCGGCATTGGTGCCTTCGACCCGCTAAACATAGTGAGGAAACTCACCTCTGAATCTGAACAATAGCTGATGAGGTCCCGACTCCGAATCTTAACTCTAACCGATGCCTAACCATCAAACAGAGCAATTCTCAAACATAATCGAGAATACCCAAAATACCCCCATGGGTCAAACTAGGTCAAATGGTTAAAAAGTCAAGAAGATCCAACTCAGGTGACTACCACGTCATGGTAGCCCTTTACCACGTCGCGGTGTCAAAGACGACAAGATAGTCGCGACCAGCCCCGCCAGCACATCGTAGTGGCCTTGCCACGCCGTGGCAGGGTTTTCAGCAGTTTAACGCATTCAGCCATTTTCTTCGATTCTAATGGGTCTCCAACTCACATCTGGTCCATAATAGGGTCTAGATGGATAAAGTTTCCAACTTAATCCAATAGAACCTTCCAAAGTGTATAGATCTTAACTTTAAGGTCCAAAACACTACATGGCTTAAGCAATAATCATAAGGTTACTTGATCAAAAGCTCCAAAAGAGTCTCCAACACAAAACACATCAAAATAATTGGTGTTTTTCCAGACATGCATGTCCAATGCATGTCTTGAACTCTAATTAGGCCAAAATAGGGCAAAAAGGCCAAGATTCCATGCATGGCCTCAAAACTCAAGTCTAATTCAGATCCAAAGAGTCAAATGCTCCAAATAGCCTGGAGATTCATAAAGTTGCAAGCTTTATGAATTTCAACATTCCAAACCAACAAGGCATACAGAAAAGTGGACAAAATCCAAAGATCTAACAACTAACTCATCAAGATAAAGACTTTATACCTCCTTGAGATGCTTGAGGAAGATAAACTCCTGGATCTACATTGCTATGGACTCCCAATATGACCATCCACCACCTTCTTCCTTAACAAGCACCAAACACCCACACTTGAGGCTAAAAACTCACAAAAGGGATCTAGGGTTTGCAAGGGACGATTTGGAGAGATGGAGACTGATGTGAGGGGAGGCTATGAGAGGTTAAAAGGTTTAAATAAGGTTTAACTTTTAAAATTTATGGTTTTCTCCAACAGCCGCCTCCACGTTGTGGCAAGAATCACCATGCCATGGTGGGTCATTAAACTCTCGCGAGCAAAAGGTTATCGCCACGTCGTGGTGAGGCTTCAACACGTCGTGGCCTTCAAAAAAATATCATACTCAGTCGAAAATAATTTTCTACCTAGAATCAAGTGTTAGAACACGACAACATATTTTTATTTTTAACTAGAAACAATAACGTATTTGTATTTTTCAACTTAAAACAACAATGCACTTATGTTAGCAGCATATTTTTATTTTTAACCCGATACACCAACATATTTTATTTTTACACGTCACATCGGGTACTTATATTTTTATATCTTTAAACCGAGTAACAACAAAGAACAAAACACAATTGTAGATATAGTAAACAAAAACAGCACCAACATACCTCTAAATTATAATATCACCGATTAAATATGGAGAAATAGAAAAATCGAGAGAAAAATAACCTCCACCGAGCAACCTACACACAAAAGGCCTTTCGGAGTACTTGTAACGAGAACCATTCGTGGTTGACATGGCAAGGTGGTAAGAATATGAAGAGCACCCCGTATCATTGTTATGGATTGTGGTGATGAGGTGGAGTGATGGACAGTGGTCACGACAATAATTAACCACACTTAATCATATTCTTTCTCTTTCTATCTCTTTCTACCTCTCCACATTTTAAACAATTATAACATATTTGTTTTATTTAAATAATTAAAAAAATAAGAGGGATATAGTGATGTAGAGTGATGAGTATACCATCTTACAGCATCCATAATGGTGAGTTCAATTGGATGGTTGAATGAGGTGGCAAATCTAGTTTCTTCAATGGATGAAACGCTAGCATAGTGAGATCCACCTTGGAATTCAATGGATTTGGAGTTCAATGGCCATTGAACTTTCAATGGTAAAAATGAATGTTTTCTAATCTTAAATACATACTATAAATTAGCTTTTGTAACTTTCTATTGAACTCTCTAGAGTTCAATGCATTGTAGAAAAAAAATCGATAGAGTTGTATGGAATGTAGAAAAATGATGTGTGTCAATCCATTGAACTTTTATAGAGTTCAATGCATTGTAGATGCCCTTAATATAGTATGTGAAGTAATGAGGTGGCAATGATGTGGTGTCCACTACATTTATGATTACCGTGGGTAGTCTAGAATAGTGGTTGATGTAGGAATTTAAGAGTAGTGGCACTACTTTTTTTTTTCACTCAACATATACTTGTATTTGCTAGAGTGAGCATGATAAAATAAAACAAAGAGTAAGAATGTAGAATTGAAGCTACAACCAAAAATCTATTTGTGCTTTTGAACCGGAGAAAATATTGAGTTTAGAGAGCTAGCATGCTAACTGAATAAACCACTTAATGCTTTTTTTATTAATTCGCAAAAAATATTTATATAAGTGGTTGCATGTTAATACAAAATAATAATATTTTTCTAACATTACCGGCTCACCGCACATACATTTTTAGATGTCTTAAAGATAATTAACAAACTCTTTGTCCTTATGAAGAATGGCCATTTCTTCTTCTGGCAGATGCACATGTGCTGTAATATCATTTCCAGATGGAGTATCCATCAAAATGATAGTATTCTCATCCACATTTGGAATTCTTAGTAGAACTTCCTGTGGCTTGCCCCACCCAAAATCCACTTCGTAAAATGGAACCCTACACACGCTTGAACTATAATAAATGTCACTCTGTAAGGTGGAGAATGTGTTTAGCAACTTTTCAACTACTTCTTGCTCATCTCTCATTCCTTCAAGACCCATTTTTGCCTTCCTTACCTCAGAAATCACCTCACTCAACCTGATTTCACCAAATTCCTCCATCTTTGCTATCGCTAACGTGAATAAGTTTCCTGCTGCTGTTTCAGGATAGTTTTCAACAAACTTGTTCCTCATGTTCGTAGCTACAGACAAGTTTGATGGTTTCAAAGAATCTGACTTTGTTGCGGCTGCACTCACTGCGTGTTTAAATATTAAAGACGTCAACACTTCAACTCGAGAAGGGTTCGTTGGAGCTTTTCCGGTGGCAGCAACCTTCTTCTTCAGCTCATTTAGTTTTGAATTAGGAAACACAAATATCCTTGTAGCATACTTTACTTTATCCAAGTCCTTAATAATGAACTTAGGCAACCTAACGTTATTACTTTGGAGGATGAGGGTGAAAGATGGATTTACTGGTGGCTGACACGTGTAACTGTAGCCAATGGTTGATGAAGTTGGCAAAGGTGGCTCCATCAGCAAGCTTGTGCGACATGGACACAGCCACTGCGCTCCACCACCAGCAAATGGTTCAGCTGGACATCGAGCAACTTAGGGCAAGAAGCACGAACAGTACAGCTGAGACCATAAGGAAAGAGTTGGTCTAGGGTTTCGTTTTGCTCCTTCTTGTGAATGAAGTCGTCGATGGGGCTATAATTAAAGCTTCAAGGAATTCTACCCCTTGGTCGTTTGCAGTTGATGTAAGGTAAAAAAACGGGTTGAATTCTACCGGCGAAGGGGTAATACTGTGTAAGCACTGTGATAAGGATGCTTTAAGACGTTGGTGTCAACAGTTTTGTAGTTCCGTAGGAAGAAAAGAACAAATGCGTGTGCATGTCAGGAGCAAACTGATCAAGCGAACGAAAGATTATGAGTTTTCAGGTGCGGAGGTGTTGGGGAAGATGGTCTAATGGGTTCCTAAGATATGATTGTGTGAAGTTGCCTATTTTTGCAATGTTTGGAGCTTTTGCTTGATTTTGTTCATTATGGACAAGATTGCAAGTAGTATGCCGAATGCCGATGTAAACATTTATACCACACTGAAGTTGGATTTTAATAATTTTAAACTTTGGCAAGTTGGATTTTAATAAATAAAAGAAGAAGCGCACAAGGATTTAATTCATTTATATATATATATATATATATATATATTATAGATATATATATATATATCTATATATATATATATATATATATAAACTTAGCCTAAAAGATGAATAGTGAACTCTGCTACAGTTTGGCAAAAAGGCCCCCTATTTATGGGTTTCGCTGCAATTTGGGTTCGTTTTTTGTAAGCGGGCATTTTATGAAATTATATACATTCTTTATACACGTGTTGTTCATTTATCGTGGTCTCCATCCCTTCTGGATTCTTCTTCTCGGTATTGCGACTCATCTTTGAACTACGTCTCTTCCACTGATTTTGGTCTGTAATCGAATGCTTACACACTTGCTTCCACCCCCTTCAACTGCTTTCGTCTACGTCTTCTGTGTTCCATCGTCGGATCCACTGTGGATCGTTTTGGGATTTTAGGGCTTTCAAAGCAAAAGGTTTCCAAGCAACAACGAATGTTAGGTTACGAGACCTCATCCTGTTTTCCATGCTTCTACAGGTTTGTTGCCAATTCTTTATTCATCACTTCGTCAATCACCATATATCGCTGATTTCGGTTCTCTTTGACAACCCACCTCCGGTGACAACTTTGTGATGATGTTGGGCCCTTAGCTGTTTCTGGTGCCGGTGGGTCATCATCAGCTGTACCGGTTGCCCCTGTTCCTCTCCGACGAAGAGCAAAATAGAAGATTTAGGGCTTTTTTGTGGAGAGTCGATTTCCACAGTCAGTAGAAGAGGACGACGGAGAAAACCGATTCCACTCTACGAAGAGATGAGGTATGTAGTATATTCGGTGGATCCTTCCCACCGCCTTCTTATCAAATATCTTTAGTCATTCAGAAGTTTTTTCCGCTCAACAGATTGCGCATCGCCAGTCTATTTCCGGCGACCCAATCAAGTAAGTTTCGAATTCAATAAACATATTGTCGAACAGCTGGTGTGCGTAAGCTGAAATAACTGGACTGAGTGCTTGCTACTGGTTTCCGTTCTTTTACTTTTTAGGGTTGCTTTACCGGATGGGCCTGTGAAGGAGGGGAAGAAATGGGAAACAACTCCTTTCGATATAGCCAAGGAGGTATCCAAGAGCTTAGCGTCAGCGTCAGATGCTTTCATTTCTCAGGTGGATGGAGTGCTTTGGGACATGTCAAGACCCTTGGAAGGTGATTGTCAGCTCAAAATATTCACTTTTGATAGTGATGAGGGTCGTCACACATTTTCGCATTCAAGTGCTCATATTCTTGGCTACGTATTGAACTAAAGACGAATCTGTTTTACTGGGAATGATTTTTGTGTATAACGTGGATGCTGAATTCACTTGTATACATTGTTTTCAGCTCATTACAGGCCCTTGAAATGTTTGTGCACTACTAGATCTCTCTTTCCCCCCATGCGACATCGACATGACCATGTTCAACTTTAGTTGTATCTTGTATGATCACTAAGCCATTTTCATTGACTATGCTGCAGATTTTCAGAGTCGTGGCCTACACATCAAGACTTAAAATCTATTGGTATGCTTCTCTACATATTGGAGTGTGTCACAGAGACATCAAAATCTTTTGGTATGCTTCTCTCCTGAGATATAAATCATAACATTGGTTGATTAATTATTTAGTCCATGTCATGTCCGTGCATCATTTGTTTAACATTTAAATTTGCACCGGTGTCTGTCCTTGACAGGTGGGAGGGTCTTTCAGATTCAATTCGGTCTACTAGAGGCTACACCTTTTTTTATGGATCTAATAAACATCGCATTTGTACAACCTGAAAGCATGTCTCTGTTGTAATTTCAGCCTCTTTTCCCTGGTGAGAGTGGAGTCGGCCAGGTAGTGGAAATCATAAAGGTACGTACTTGTGATTTTTTAAATTATTGTTCTTTGATATTTGTTATTGAGATTTGTGTTCAAGCTGAAATTATGTGCACAATACATAGTTGGGGATTATGTAAACTAAACTGAGGTGTAACACACATTTGCCGCCTTGCAACATCAAATGTTTATTATATAGTATATGATATGATCCAGCAATCAGCTTTAACTAAAAGGGTTTTTCTTTCCTTGGTTTTCTTGCATTTTGTGGAGCGTGAAAACTAATTGTAGGCTTAGTTTTTTCTGAAAACATGTTGATTACGTTTTGTTGCTGATATTGGGAATTCGGGATATCATTTCTCTTGGTTGCTATGGTTTATAATCTCTGTGAAAGCCTTGATAAATAGATAAGTCATGTACGTATGTGTCTTTGTGCAGAATTTGGTGAAGAAGCTTAAAGATGTCTGATTTGTACAAACAATACGCTGAGAGGCTTCTACAATCTGGTGAAGTTTATCGTTGCTTTTGCTTAAATGAGGTAAGTGCCCTCGAACTTGACAGATGTGTGTACCTCATGTATATATGAGAAAAAGAGTTATCACAAGGAACTCCATATACTTACAGATTTTGTGTCCCTAAAGAAGAAGTTTAAAAATTAACGGCTTGAGTAGAGGAGAGGTAATTAATTTTTATACAAAAATTAATTTAATAACTTTTTAGACATTAAAATTTGATATGTTTAATGATGTTGTGTAAAGGTTAGCTGGAATCTAGACACACTTGGCGATTTTGAACACTTGTGCTTCAGGGCAGAAGAACACTTACCTAATACAGTAAGGCAAGCATTGATATATAAGGTAGTTTTATTTTAATATTAATAAAATTTTCATATACAAAGGGAGTTTATTCATAAGTGCTACTGAACACAAAGAGCAAATTCTGTATTTCAGTCAACAAGTGAATATTTTCTTATTATTATTTTTTTCGATTAATAAATTATGAAAAATGATATATATATATATATATATATATATTATATATATATTATATATATATATTATTTGTTTTTCTATTTCAGGATCTTAGGGAGCTTTTCAGTATCCGAAAACAGGGTTTTGATGTTTCTTTAACTCAACAACAGTTGCATGAAGAGCATGATTGTGAACACAAAATGTTTGTACTATGTAATTCATTAAAAATAAGGTTTTTTTAATGTGATTTGAAATATTAAATTTCTTCAGAACAATTTCTTTTGTTATAGGGATGCATCTGTTAAAGATCACACAGCTTTTTTTGAGTCTCTTGGTATAGCTGGACTTAGTAACCACAGTTTGCTTTTCTCAAAAACTGCTCCAGTCCCTGTTGTGCAAGATGAAGAACTAACAAGGTGATATATCTATCCTTTTTACCCTTCAAGGGCATTTTAGTAAATTCACATTTTTGAATTTTTGTTTAAGTTCTCTTAATTGTTTTTAGGATTAGGCAATCAACTTATGTGGGAAACTCATCTTCTTACAACTCACGTGAACCAGACATGGATGCGTATGTCTTCTTAAAATCTCAATCTTCTTTTTACCTTAAAAAGATATATTTTTATTTTATTTATTTTATTTTATATTTCATTTACAGGGGAGCTCAATTTGCTATCAGTCCAAAGTATGTTGTCATTCTATATTGCCTTCCAAAAAGTTTTTTTTGATTTGTTGGATTAAATTTCGTTGCATTTTTTTTCTTTAAATTCATTTCAGTTTTTTTTTGGGCCCATTTTATGATGTATTTGCTGTTATTAATTGTTTCAGGTTAAAAAGGACAGAAGACCTAACACATCAACATGTAGATGCTTGGTCGAAGGCTAGGTGTAAAAAAGTGTCATAGTTAATGATTTTAAATTTTATATTACGAACTTTAATGGTGTTTTTTTGAATTTTGCTTTCTTTTCAAGTTTGATCGTGTTGCAGCTGAGCCTAGATAGGGAATAAGAAGTTGCCATGTACCTGGGAGCAAGTGCATCCCTTTTACATGGTTTTAGGATGATGTGGCGAGACACCTTTCACAATCAGAAAAACAAATAAACTTATGGAATCATATAGATGATGAGCAAAATGATGAAAATGGTCATTTTTACCAAAATGGCCTAGATGGTAAAAATGCTTTCTGTTTCCCTATTATGTCATGGTTTAAGTGGCCTTTTTTTATTTTACTAAACTAAATGTCATTATATTGATTTCTTTTTATGGTAGAAAATTAGTGCAGACTCCATCAAAATATATCGGCAGCTGCTAAAAGTATCATAGACTACGGATGAATATAAAGCCATTTTACTTTCTTTGAGTCCATTTAATTTTCCATTTTTTTTGTATTAAAATTGCATTGTATACTTTTGGTATGTAATTCACATCCAACCCATGCAAAGCATGGACACCTACAAATATAGTAAAAGGATGAACCGAGTTGTGCAACTCCGTTGTAACAAGTCCAACACGCACATAAGCACTCAATATTAATGACTAATTATCATGGATGTAGAAAACCGGCGATGACATCTACTACACGGGAGGTAAGTGTTGTTTGATGTAACTGGAATGTATCGTTATGCTTCAAAAAGAAGTTTCAGAAATTGTATCACATCTAAAGTTTTTTTTGGTTAAAATCAAATGCAAAGTTTTTTCGTAAACAGTATTAGTGCCCCATGACGAAAGAATATTACTGCCCCATAACAATACTCAAACTATAAACAAATAGTTGATCAAATAACATTTACAAAGAACAAACAACGGAAAAAATTGTTGCATCCGACCCCCGCAACGCGGGGGTTCCCCACCTAGTTAATATAACTTGTGATGATAGAAGAAATAAGAGTAAATTTCACGGATAGTCCCTATCTGTTTGAGTAGTTTTGTTGTTGGTCCGTAATTACATTATAACATGTGAAAATGACAAAAATAGCCAATTATCCTAATCACTTTGCGGAAAATAGCCAAAAAAAATCGAAATTGCAAAAATGGCCACGAAAATCGCAGATGGGAATGGTCCATCTGCGATTTGCACGTTCCATCTGCGAATGTACAAGTACCTAAAGCACAGCTGTGTTTTAGGTACTTGTACATTAGCAGAGGAAAAGTCCATCTGCGATTTGTACTGTTCACCTGCGATTTTCATTCTGAAATTCTATAAAACGGTTTTTTTTTCCTCATTTTTTACTCTTCAATATAAAAAAACTCACTCTCTCGGGGATTCCTTTTGACGATTTCTTGAAGAAAATGGACGATTACTTCAACAATCCCGAAAATATGGTTAGATTTTAACTCTTTTTATGTTTTAATTAACATTTATTTAGTATATGTCTTTATTATTTTATTATATTGTATTAGTTAGTATAAAAAAAATTATATTGTTGTGATAGGGTAATTTTGTTTGTATTTGATAGTTTTATATTTGTTATTTATTACTAAACTTGAAGGTTTAAATGCTATTTTGTTAGTGGTTGTATGAATGTACAAGTAGAGACTGCTTAGAGTGTGCATCGGGTAGTTGTACATTTAGTAAAATGGTTAGAATATGCTTATTTTTTTAAGTTATTAGTTAAATAATTTGTTAGAATAATATTTACAATATGTTTGGTTAGTGGTTTAAGTTGATAAATTGATATAGCATGGTTAGAATATATTATTTTATATAATTTGAACTTAAAAATTGTTTGTATATTTGTCGTATAAGTTGGAAAATTGTTAATTAGTTGTCGTTTTAGTTGAAAAATTGTTTGTTTATATGGTTAGAAACTGTTATTGATATAATAGAAAGATAAAAAATCGTTTGTATATTTGTCGTATAACTTGGAAAATTGTTTATATAGTTGTCGTTTAAGTTGAAAAATTGTTATAGTATGTTATTGTTTTTAGCGTAAATATATAAATTATTTATTAAATATTTGTCTTTGCATGTTATTATTGTTTATGTTATTATTGCATTTAATAATAATATATTTTAAAATGAAATATTTTTTAGTTTTCTAATATGTTTATTGTGTTTTTTGCAGCATAATTATAATAATTTCGATGTGAAACACTATTGTAAATTAAAGGGATCGGGGTGTAACATATGGGAAGTATTTGAAGTATTAGATGGTGTGAGACGTGCTATATTTAGAGATACAGTATTGGTTACTTGTTGGACGTCCCTCGTTTACAAGGGGACGGATTGCTGTTCCACAAAAGTTTCCTTCATCAGATCCGGCCGGACGTTGTTTATCTCCAGATGGAATAAAACGGTTATATTTTAGAGTAGGCGATACGAAAATGGTATATGGGCCGGAAGAGTTTTGTTTTATAACCGGGTTGAAATTTGCGGAGTATCCAAAAAACATCGGGAAAAAAGTGTCAGAAAAAATAGTTAGTAGTAAAAAAAGATGTTTATTGCGTGAGCGGCTATTTCCGAACCATACAAATAGTTCGGTGAAAATCAGTGACCTGAAAAGTTTTATTTTAAATCAACCATTATTAGAAGTTGACGATGCCGATGCAGTTAGAATATGTTTGATTTACATTTTATGTGAAGGTTTTTTGGAAAAAGAAATAAATGATAGCGTGCCACAAGATTGGTTTTTGTTTGCTGAGAATTTGGATGTTTGGAACAGGTATTTTTTGTTTACTTTGAAAGTTTTATATTATTCATGTTAATTTATATTATAACTAAATTTTTTTTGTTTTGTTAGTTTCGCTTGGGGTAGCTATTTATGGGATTTTACGTATGATGACCTTGAAGATACATGGAACAAGATAAATAAATATTTATCACTTTCTGAGCGTCATCAAACTTTAAAATACACCGTCTTAGGATTTACGGCTCCAATTATGGTATAAAAATTTACTTATATTTAAATGGTTTTATTGTTATGTTAGTTATTTTAATTTTAACTTTTATTACTATAATTGTAAAAATTGTAGATATGGATATATGAGATGCTTCCGGCTGTTCGTGCCTGTGGATTTGTATTGGGAAAAAATAGAGACATGCCTCGGATGAAACGATGGAGTGGGACAAAAAAATTGAAATGGGTTGATGTGAACAAGATTTTTTCAAAGATACAGGTTTATAAATTTTTTTAATTATTAATAAAATACATTATTATACTTTTATATGCATTTTTAATAGTTCAATTTTTTTAGGAGGGACAACCACCAAGAAATAAAATGTCACCGAGTGATGATGAGATGACATCTTTTTATTATATGTCATTTCAAGAGTATGTATATGGTGAACGGAAATCAGTTCCATCCCCAGTACGGGACCATTTTAGGAGACAAGACGAATCTTCGTCTAGTATGTCGTCTAGTGGTCGCTCTCATGGTAGAGGTGGGCGTAGTGGAAAACCCAACCTAGAGGAGGTGTTGAAACGGCTACATGCACTGGAGCAACATGTGTTTATGAACCGAGAACCTACAGAGGTGTTTGTTGAAGAAGTGAATAATGAAGATCTATGGAATAACATCAGTTTTGAGGAGCCTGCAGTATTCCAAACAAAATTTGATGAACGGGTTAGTTACACGCTACATTATTTTTTTTAATTTATTAATATATATTAATATTTGTGTTCATATTTTATATTTGCAAATTTAGGTTGTAGAAGATGAAGTGATGAATAAAAATAATACAAATGAAAATATTTTTGGTGATATCGAAGACGACAATGTTATTATAGATAATACATTTACGATTTTAATAAATAATTTTTAATGTTTCTTTCGTTAATAACTATAATGTGTTAATTTTAATGTAGGAGTTGGAGGAGAGGAATGAGAATGCGGGTTGTAGTAGGAACAAATTTGATGATGATGTGTTTGATGTAAATGATAATGAAGCTAAAGAGGTTGTTATACTTACATTTATTTTAATTTTTATTTAGTAGATTGAATCATGTTTTACTTAGAGATTTTTGCTTATTAATTTAGGTGTCGGAGGAAGATGAAATACAAATTACGGGAAATGTAAATTATTATGATGCTTATGGTTTTGATGGCAAACAAGTAACACCCGATAGACTGAGGGCTCGAAATCCATCAAAGTATTTGTGTCATCCGTACACCGAGGTGTTCGTTTAATTTAAAAACTTATATCGTAATAATAGAATTTTTTTTATGTGAATTATTTGAAAGATAGAGATCTAAACATTTCAATATTGTTTTAGCTGCACACAACACCGAAACAAAAAAGAAGAGCAAAAAGGAAGGTTGATATGAAATCAAGAAGCCCCGTTCCTCCTCCAGCATTTGCTGTTGCTCACGACTTCTCTGTGTTGCGCCTGCAACCTTACGTAGCAGGCGGTGAGGTTGTGATCCAGAATTATTTATTTCATTCATATGACATGCAGCATCGTTTGTTTAATTTGGTGTTAGACAGAGAATTTTGGAGCGCCTTGTTTGGGCATACACACGACGGATGGTTGGAGTCAGCGGTAAAATAATACTTAATTTATTTTTTTAAAAGTATTTTCTTTTTTAGTTAATAACAAAAGTATCATAATTTTGTGTAGCATATCACCCTTTGGTATAGACTACTGATGGAGTGACGTTTTGATAGCGACCGATATACAATAATGCCGCCAAATTTTTTTGTTTGCCATGCTCTGGAGGAAGGGCAGGATTGGAGGGCGTTTATGGCTGGTATTGCTAAATACCCCAACTTCATGGTTGCTTGGTGGGATGTCGATACGGTAAACTAAATTTTATTTTTTTAAAATATTGTCGTTATGTTTTTGTATTCTTATTTCTAAACAAAATTTATTTCTTTTTTATCTTTATACAGGTCCTATTTCCGATTCATTCAGCCCCTAATCACTGCTTATTTGGGGAACTACGATTGGCGAATATGGAAGTCCATATTTATGACAGTCTCGGTAGAGGGGCTTATGAAAAATTCAACTCTGATGGAACCTTTACCAAATTTGAAGCTATGGTGGCCGGTTGTTTAGACAAGATTAACT